TATTTTTGCCAATGTTTGCTTAATGATATTTTCTGCCTCTATTTGCATGGGTTCATTCCATCTGTATTTTAAAGTTTGTTTTTATGAGCATAATTAATTTTATCTAGCAATAACCTTCATAATGAAATATTCATATGCATGCATACTATATTTTTATGCTTGTTTTAGGTTTTGAAATTGAACTATATATCATTTAGTGTTTTAAAAATTATTGTTACATATATAATTATAGATGTATAATATTAACTATATTAAGGCTAGTATTCTTTATTGCCCTTCTACTTCCAATAATCACATTCATTTTACTAATTGGTCTTCTCTATATTTCAATTTTTCCAGTTGTTGTGCAAGTCAATGGGCTCAATTAGATTTACTCATGATTTTGTTTTAATTAGCATACCAAGTAAGAGTCTTCATTATGACATCCTCATACAGCTCCTTTTGTTCATTTTTCTCCCTCTTCCATTCCTTGTACAGCATTGCTGATCTCTTTACTCCCATTTCCTATTCCATGTCATATGTCTTTCATTTATTTCCCACCTCTCTCTATTAAACTTTTCTTCTCATGGTCACTTGCTAATTTCATGACCTATAACTTTGTCATCCTATATATGATAAAAATCTAGAATCTAATATCATTCTATTTTTCTTTGTAGGTCTTGTATCTGTTTACACATCTGTGTTAATTAGTCTCTCTTTTCAAAGTACAGAATATTCCATATATATATATATTTCTCTTGAACAATACTATGGTGATCTTCCCTCTATTGTTACTCTTAGTGTGTGTACTGCTCAAGTGTGATCTGTCATCTACTTCCCAAGCACTTAGTTCAGAATTTGGTTTTTGCTTCTACCTTTATAATATTTCTACCAAGAGAACCAGGCATATCATGTGTGTGACAAGCTTTGTTTTGGCATATTTAACATCTGCTATAATTTTTCCATCTCTACTTTCAAAGTTTCCATTCAGGCTTCTGTCTTTTTTTAGTTTTTCTCTTAGCACACATTCCATGTTTACTAATTCATAGTCCTTTCTGGGTTTCCATCTGTGTGAAGGCATAAGGATTCATTAATAACAAGTGTTTTATTAAAACACTTCTAGGCCTATGCATGGTTCAAATTGCTATAAGGCATTCCTGATCCAGAATCAAAAGCATTATTTCCTCCCAAACATGTTGATGAATTAGCATCCTGACTTTACTGCTCTTAGAGCATCCCTTCCATGCTTCTAAATTTGCTCTTGACTTGAGTTCCTATATTATTTTCCAATTGCTAACATAACAAATTACCACAAATTTCATTGTTAAAATGAATACAAGTATTGTGGGGATCAGAATTCTGAGAAGACTAAATGACATAAATCAGGTTTCTTCAGAGATAGTAACTACTGAAATCCCTAGGAAAGTGTCCATTTTTACCTTCCAACTTCTAAAGCTTCATGCATTCCTTGGCACTATGACCCTTCCTCCTTGTTCAGAGTTTGAGACAGGGTGTCTCACTCATGATGCTTGTTTTTCCCACAACTGGATTTTTCCCTATTTTGTTATATCAAATTTTGTAGTTCTACAGACCTAGAATAATTCAGGATATTCTTGCATCCTGATATCAACTTGTTAAGATCTGAGTTCCATCTTCCAGCCCAACTTTTCCTTAACTTATTTAACACACAGGAAGCCTTAGGGACTAGAAAAATGCATGACCTTGTATATCTTATTATGCCCAGAACATTATATATTTCTCTGTGTTGAATATTCCTTTATATGTCCAAATCTCTTACTAACACTGTTTCTGAAAATTTCAGGGTTGGGATATTTAGGAAATGAAAGGCACTCAAAACATCATTCTAACCTGAAATTATGATTTCCACAGGGTCACTTATTGCTAAAATTTTAAAAGGGTAATGAGAATCAAAACCATGGCATCTGTATGTCCCTGCATGTGCTGATGTCACAGGATTCAAGGCAAATTTCTTCTGTAATGGTCTTCCCTGGATCTGAGGGATAGGATTACCATGTTCTTTGTACAACTTGAATGTGTAATAGTTAATATGAGAGTCACATTGAAGTTCCACACGCTGTCCCAAAGGAACAATATGGCTTGGCCAGGCAGAGAGTGAAGGCTTGTTATGACTCCCTGCAGAGAAATGCACAGAGAAAATATTTAATGATGCTCCTTCATCCCTGAGAGCTGAGACTCCAATTTTCTCTTCGTTGAGTTCCATTGTATAACACTTTTCTCTTCAATGTAAGAGGCTGAGATGTTCAGGAGATTCAGAAAGTAAACAAACTTTCTCTGTCATGGAGAGGTGAAACATTCAACATTTATCGGTGGCCCTTCCCAGCTCTGTAGAAAGAGTGAGACCCTGGACCAGCTGAGCTCTGAGTGCTAATGTCTAAGACCTGTTGGTCTGCCTGCAAGTTGTGCACTGAGCGCCAGGGTTTTGGCTTCATGATAATCCCTCATTTTGGGGTGTGCTTTAAGTAAGGTTGGAGTCACCCTTGCTTCTGTGAGTAACCCCTCATCCACACTGCTATCAGTAACTTAGTAAACCCATCGATTCATAGAGTTACGCTTTGGTGCAATCACTGTTTGCTCTGCTATGGATTTCTTTCATGAGGTGAGTCAGTTTGTATGTGTTATACACAATAGGGTCATTTTGAAGTGATGAGTGTGAGAGACTGTGGTTTTTAGAATAGTTATGGTCCACATAGACTCATCTGTTTAATTGCATGGCACATAAGGAATATCACTAATAGGAGGTATGGCCTCATTGGAGTAGGTGTGGCCTTGGTGGAGGAAGTATTTCACTGTGGAGGCACATTTTGTGGACTCTTATGCTCAAGCTATTAACAGTGTGAAACACAGTCTCAGTCTGCTGCCAGTGGATCAAAACGAAGAATTCTCTGCTCCTTCTCTAGCATCATCATCTTGATTACCTACACACTGCTAGGTTCTCTACCATGATTTTAGTGGACTAAAACTCTAAACTGTAAGTCAGCCCCAATCAGATGTTTCCTTTTATTAGATTTTCCATGGTGATGGTGTCTCTTCACAACAATAGAAACCCTAAGACAAAGACTGTAAGTGTTATCGAACCTACCATATATATGATATATCTGTCATGTTAAGATATTCTAAAAGAGAATTTTGAGTTTGGAATCATGCAGTAAGTTTCATCATGAAAATATTATAATTTAAGAAGAAATTACACCCAAAGTGTAGAAGGAAATGTTAGTGTGATTGAGATGATAGATCACAATTGATGCCAGCAAGGGAGCAGAAAATGACAGCTCTTGATTCACCAACTCTAGAAATCTAACAATATTCAGATTATAAGTATATCATGAATATTCCAAAACTCATGGATGATGGAGAGATAGCCCCCAGGACCACAGAACTGAGAAGATCAAGAACAATGATGAGGAATGAGTCTTTTGAACTACTTTGCCCTCATGAACTTTTGTAAAAATTTTCATTCACAGAGTTTATACAGGCTCATTTTTCTATACTAAATGTCATAAATTAGAGGCTGATAGATACTTCCTCCATCATTTGGAGTCTCCTTTTATGTGAAATATAGGAAGTCTAGTATAACTCAGCATCTTGTTTATTTGTATTTAGAATGGATTTGGACTCATAGTGGCCAGCCCATGAATCTTGTTAATTTATCTGCATCCTGAGGAATGAGACAATAGCTACTCTCTGTATTCATGACTATGTAGACTCCAAGCTATACTACCACACAGCTCTGGTGGACATCTTGCAACCATCATAGACCCTAGCCAGAGACTGTTCCTTATTAAAGAGATCCAGACTATGAGAATGTTGCAAAAACAGGACCCAACCTTCTGTTGCATACAAGAGACACCACTAATATCAAAGGTAAACATCACCTCAATATCTCAGAATAAAGCACTGGTCAAAGAAATTCTAAGCAAAGGGATATAAGAAGCAGGCTGGGTTAGCCATTCTAATATCTAACAAAATGGACTTCTGTGGTGACGTGAAAGGCCATGGCCTGAAAGGGAGTGGGCCATTAGGAGGAGGGGCCTTGTTGGGGTTGCTGTGGTCTTATTGGAAGAAACTAAACAGAGAAATACTTGAGCTAACAGACATGATGTCCTAAATGAACAAAATAGCTATCTACATCACATATGACCCAAATGCTAAAGCATAAACCTTCTTCTCAGCACCTCATGATTTTATTTTTCAAAAATTGACCACATACTCTTTCACAGAATAAGTTTCTACAGATACAAGAAAATTGAAATAACCCCTGTATTATATCAGACCACTACAGATTGAAGCAGGAATTCTAGGAAACAGAAACAAAAGAAAGTCTACAAACTCATAGAAAGTTAAGAACCCTATACTGAATGTAAACTGGGTCAAGATCAAGTTAAGAAAGAAATGAAAAACATTACACAGTTCAATGAAAATGAATGCCCAATGTACCCAAACCAATGGGACACAATGAGAACAATACTAAGATAAAAGTTCATAACTTTAAGTGCCTACATATATAACCTAAAGAGATCTCATATTAGCAACTTAACCACACACCTGAAAGTTCAAGAACAAAAAATAGCAAACACATCTAAGACAGCAGGAAATAATCTAACTGTGGGCTGAAATCAACAAAAGAGAAACAAAGACAATAATATAAAGAATCAGTAAAATAAACAGTTCGTTCTTCAGAAAATCAACACAATGGACAACACCTTGCTGTGGGATGTTCTGTATGCTGTGAATATCTGTTGCTCCGATTGGTTGATAAATAAATGCTGATTGGCCAGTAGCCAGGCGGAAGTATAAGTGGAATAAGCAGGGAGGGAATATTCTGAGAAGAGGAAAGCTGAGTCAGGAGATGACAGCTTGCAGTCCGGCAAGCAGCATGTAATGGCACACATGTAAAGTCACAGAGCACATGGTGACAAAAAGATTATAGAAATGAGCTGAGTTTAAGTGATTATTTTATAAGCGGCTGTGGGGTCCGTGAGGCTGGGCTGGGGAAACCTTTCAGCTACACCACCTAATCCAAACTAACTATAAGCCAGGCAGAGAATATACAAATTAACAAAATCAGAAATGAAATGTGGGACATAACAACAGACATCTAAGATATCAAAGGCATCATTGGCGCACACATTAAGAACCTGTAATCCACAAAACTAAAAAATCTAAAAGAAATGAATAATTTTCTCATTATTTACCACTTTCCAAAAGTAAAATAAAGGTCTGGTAAACAATATACATAGCCCTATAACCCCTAAGGAAACAGAAGTTCTCCGTAAAATTTTCCCCAAGAAAAAGTACAGAGTCAGTAGATTCTAGTGAAGAATTCTTCCAGACTTAAGAAGAGCTAATGCCAATATTCCTTAAATTAATCTTAGAAACAGAAGTAACACTGCTTCACTTTATGAAAGCACAGTAATTCTGATACCTAAACCATAGCAAGATTCAATAAAAATATAATTACAGGCCAATCTCCCTCATGACCATTGATGCAAAAATATTCCATTAAATACTAGCAAAATACATCCAAGAATATATCAAAAAGGTCATCCACAGTGATCAAGTAGGCTCCATCACAGAGATGTAGGGGTGTTTCAATATATGAAAACCTGTCAATGTAATCCACCATATAACTCTGCAAAAAATCCACATAACTTTCTTATTAGATATTAAAAAAGACTTTGAAATTAATCTAATATAGCTACATGATAAAGGGATATCAGGGATACAAGGAATATACTTAAATATAACAAAAGCAATATCAAGAAGGCCTTTAGACAACATCAAATTAAAAGGAAGGAAATTAAATGCAATTCCACTAAAATCAGGAAAAACACAAGGCTGCCAACTTTCTCTGAATGTATGCAATTTGTACCAAAACTACACAGATAAACACTGACTTAAAAAAACAAAAAAAGAAAAAAAGAAAAGAAATAGAGGTTGATCAATAGAATGTAATTGAAGACCCAAAATATCAATCTGCAAAGCTAAGGATACCTGATTTTTGATAAAGAAGACAGAAATATACAATGGAAAAAAGAAAGCATCTTCAACTAATGGTCTAACTGGATGTCTACATGCAGAAGAATGCAAATGGATGGATATCTATTACCCTTCAAAACTAAAGTCTAAGTGGATCAAAGACCTCAACATCAAACCAGATATATCAACAGATGGGAGCAGATGCAGAGACCCACAGCTAAACATTAGGCAGTGCTCCAGGAAGCTCAAATAAGAGGGGGAAGGAAGAATTGTAGGAGCCAAAGATGTCAAATGCATCACCAGAACATGACCCAAGGATTCAAGTAGAATGGATCAAGGCCTTCAGTTACAGAGAATGAAGAGTTCATCAGGGAACCTGTATGGGTCTATGATAGTTACTCTGCATGTGTGTTGTGGATGTATAGCTTGGTGTTCTTCTTGGACTCCTAGAATTGGGAGTTGGTGCTATCTCTGATTCTTATACCTACACTTGGAACCCTGTTCCTCTTATACAGTTTCCTTGTCCGAAGTTGATACAAGCTTATGGGCCTAGGCTTAGTGTTACTTTTTGTGCTTTGCTCTGTTAATATCCCAGGGAGCCTTGCTCTTCTCTGAATATGAAATGAATGTAGGAGAAACTGTGGTAGGGATATAATGTATGAGAGAAAAATAAAAAACAATCCTTGTCATTTGTTAGGAGAATAAAACACACGGATTCAGCTTCAGAGCTATCATCCAGTAACAAAAGAGAAAATATGCTATTTGTTTTTCTGTGTCTGGGTTACCTTGGTCAGTATGAGATTTCCTGGTTCTATCTGTGTCAATGTTAATTTCATTGTTATTTACCTTTGAACAGTATTCCACAGTGTACATGTGTTAAAATTTCATTATCCAATCATCAGCGGAAGGACATTCAGGTTGTTTCCTTTTCCTGACTATTGAAAATAGAGTAGCAAAGAACATGACTGAACATGCATTTACGCCAAAGAATGTCAAGTTCTTTGGATACATTCCAAGGGGTGGAAATGATGTACATAGAATAGTTATGTATGATTTTCTCCATATATTTTATTTACAAAGAAAAACATCTTTATAAAAGAAAAAAGATGCAATCTAACTATGAAAAAAGAAACTCTGGGTAGAAAATATTTTGAATTTTGAAATGAATCAACATTAACATAAAATTTTTGTAAACCACCCCCACAGACAAAACAATCATCTACTGAATTGGAAGAATATATGGGCCAGCTTGATGTCTAAGTGGGCAAAGGCTCTTTCTGCCAAGCTTTACACTTTGAAAAACATTGCCAGGATGCACAAGGTGAAAAGAGAAAATTGATTTCAGAAGGTTTTCCTCTACCTCCACACTAGTACCACGGTGCAAGCACACACACGCACGCACGCACGCACGCATGCACGCACTCACACACATTCACTAAATAAATGTAAAAATAAAAAGTTAAGAGAACATTCCAACAGTTTACTTAATTATAATATAGGAGAATGAGTGAGCTTAGATCATGCATTTCATGATCTGAACCATAATTACAAAACCTGAATGAAAATAAATTGAAACCATCCAAATACCAAATTGCAAATTATAAAAATTCAAGAAAGGGTAAAGGAACACTGAGGTTTACTTGGGAGGAAGGACGTGGCATTTAGAATGAGTTTTGGGAGCAGAATGAATATTATTAAAAATATTATAGGAAATTCAGAAAGAAATTGTATAATATTTACATAAAGACAGAAAAACAAAGCTTAGAAAATAAGGAGAGAAAAACTTATTTAGAAAAGTTACTGTACAACACTCTTAAGACATGATGAAAACTGAAAATTTTCAGGCAAAAGATGGTCAAAAGAGATGAAACAAATTCAAATCAAATCATCAAGATCACCGAGCATATAATTGTCATGAGAGATCCTGACATCAGATTGACAAAAGAGGAAAAGAACATGGGTGACTTCCAGTACAGCTAATGTCAGACTTCTGAGCAAACACCTAAAGGTGTTTGTAAAGGATACAGGAGACCATGATGACCAGCTAAGTGGAAAAAAGAAAAACTGTGCCTATAAATGTCAACACCACTCTCCTTCAATGATGAAGTATATAAAAAATTTCTCAGAAAAATTGTAGCTGACAGAGTTCCTGACAACAAGCTCAGAAAAGTCTGTGGAATTCCTGAATCTGAAAGAAATTCTGGTCATGAGATTCCAGGCGTTATATCTCACCCTTTTTTTTTTTACAGCACTTGATAGGCAGAGGTAGGTGAATATCTGAGTTCATGGGTAGCCTGGTCTACCAAGTAAATTCTAGGATAGTCAGGGCAACACAGAGAAACCCTGTATTGAACAACCAGATATTAAAACTTTATCCAATATACGTTGATGCCTGACTCAGTCAAGAGCTGTGTCTGGGACAATCTAGGAGAGAACTGATGGACAGGGTTCAGAGTCCTAATTTCACAATTCAGAAGGCTCACCAACAAGTCACTCACAGAAGCCAGCAGCCAACACCCTGTGATGCCTGCTCTCCTGTTAGAACGAAACCTATCTATTGCAATGGATAGTATCTCAATATTTAAAGATGGACTCACCTGCTTGTGCCAATGTCCTGAGGACTAGGAAGAGGCCTGGAAAGAAAAACTCATGTTGAACTCATCTTTCTTTTTCAGTAGCCTGGTCATCTGACATCCCTATCTCTGTTGTTCTCTGTACATTAGAATCAGAGCTTACTTAGTTAAGATGAACTCATGCACTAATATAAACCATGGAGGCCAGTGTTTCTGCTGTAGCAGATTCAGCCTCCCAGGATGATGTTTCCATCCTGTTATTGCACACCATCTATTCCCAGCAGGACTCACCAGTACAGATCAGGTTTAGGAGCACAGACAGCATGGTGCTGCTTTGGCTGATAAGTGTCAGAACCAGAATAAAATATATTGGGTGTCGTAAGAGGCTTGAGGCGTCTGCCTGACCACAGCTCGGAAAGCTTAATAACAGAAACATCCGCCCTTGTTGCCACGTTCATTAATTTTGTGTGTGACAGGGTTCTCTGTAGCCCTGACTATACTGGAATGCACTTTGTAGTCCAAGCTACATTGGCTTTGCATTCAAAGCTCCACCAGCATCTGCCTCCCAAGTGCTTCAATTAAGTGTGTGTGTTCTCATACTAAGTTAATGAAATCTCTTTTGCCATTGGCTTTGTGGATCATAACTTCTTGGAAATGATTCAGGCTTTAGCTTTTCAGCAGAAGTATTTACCATGACTATAAGTGAATTGCATCTTGAATCCATCACCTTTATGCAAAATGGTTAAATATGATTATTGTTCTCAAACTTTTGATGTGTTCTCTTTGCTTTTTAAATTCAAGACTCAGTGTTTCCTCTGACATTCTATACAACATGTCCCATAATTATTTTTCATATTGTAAGAATAGTTGTAATGAGTCAGTCAAAGTGATTATACTGAATTATTCCAGTTTTATGTTATAGTTATTCAGTTTCTTAATTAATCATGTAGGTATTTAGAATAATAAAATTCCACTTTTAACAATCAAACAAACAAAGCGAATAAGTTTTTGCTGTATTTGAAATTTGATTTTAGAAGCTGAAAAAATATCAAAAGATGGAGAATCTCTCATGCTCATGTATCAGTAGGAATTGCATAGTAAAAATGCTCAACCTATCAAAAACTGAAAAATCTCATCTATGCAGTCACATCAAAATTTCAACACAATGCTACACAGATCTTAAAAAGACAATTTCTGGCTTTAATGTAAACACACAGAGAAAATAACAGGATAGTTAAACTATCATGAACACTAAAAGAAATTCTGAAGGTCTCGTCATTCCTAACTTCACGTCCTACTATAGACCTATATTAATAAACACAGCACAGTATTGGTGGAATGGCAGACAGATTCATCAATGGAATCAATATGAAGACCCAGACATAATTCCAGACATATATGCATAGCTGATCTTTGCTAAAGAAACCCAAAACATTCACTGGAAAACAAGACAGTATCTTCAACAAATGGTTTGATCAGATTGGATATCTGCATGTAGAAGAATGCAAATAGCTTCATACTTATCAATTTCAA